TTTAGCTGGTTATCATTATTTGTTATCTGAACTATTCTTAGCCAAAGGGTCATCTGCCACTAAGGCCAGCACGAGTCCAGCTCATCTGCATGGGCATTCATCCAGCTTCCCAGCTTAACACACTCCCTAACGAATTACAACTGACCTTTTTAGCAGCAGCATCTGCTGGGCACTCGCCACTGTAACCTTCTTTTCATCTCTGAACTCTTTCTCTCCCTCTGTTTCGTCAGCTTTTTTCTTTTTTTCTATCCCCAGCCTCACTTTTCCAGCTCTACGGAGCTTGCCTCCGTTGATGTGCTAACACTTTGTCGTAGTCAAAGACGGTCGGTAAGCAGGATTGTCTAGGTGCGAGAAACAAGCTGGCTTTCTGCTAATTTGATCATTGGTGTGAAATGTGCTGGTTTGTTTCTTCTGACTTCTCTGGTGAAGGAGAAACAAGGGACAGAGTGGCAACATAACTTCTGTAATGAGCTCATGGAGCTGTGCTGAGAGAGCTTGCCTGTAATGTTGTTAACAACAGCTGCTCTGATCAGATATTGATGATTGAATTGTGTAAAGGACCCCCTGTTGGTTTACAAGTGCGATGCCTCCCCTTATCCAATTACACGGGGTAAAAATTAATATTTTTCTCATTTAGAAGAGAGTCAACCTCTTGCAATTATAGCAATGTATCTGACAGTAAAATCCATTAGCTTAATGAATTGAACACCAAGGAGAGGCACATGTTAATTTGGTGAGAAGCTGTTGCTCTTTGGAGCGCTGTGCTTAATACTCAGCAGGACGTTTCCTGCTTTCTCTCTTGTGCCTTTGTGTGATAGACACACTCAGGAACAAGTTCTCTTCTCAGGTAAAAAATAATTATTTTTTTTCTATTTTTGCCCATCCACCACTTCTCATTAAGTTAATCTTTACAGGAATGAAACATGAGCTGACCACTAGGTTCAGACCTAACAACAAGGGGCTTTATTTCTCAGGACCTCTTCAGCTTACTTGGCACCACGTTAGCACAGGGGTGGCTGTAGCTCAGGAGGTAGAACAGGTCACCTACTGATCGGAAGGTTGGTGGTTCGATCCCTGGCTCCTCCAGTCTGCATGTCAAGTATCCTTGGGTAAGATACTAACCCCAAGTTGCTCTCCGATGCATCCATCGGAGTGTGAATGTAGGTGGTAGAGCTTGAACTCTCTACTAATGGCCGACCATTATATTGTATATGTACACAGGGCTTAACGAGCTTTTGACTGGAACTATTAGCATAGGTGTACTCTTTGGGCTATAACTGAGAATATCAAGTATGAAACACAGAGTTGGTGACCTTTGAAGGGTTGGAAGTATACTTATGGTTTGGTTTAATGCTATCCCTTCCATCTATTTTCTGACAGACCCAAACCAAACCCAATCTTACAACAGAAGATCTGTTAGGTCGAAATTCAGTTCAGTTAAATCCAATTATATAGCGCCCAATCACAACAATAGTCACCTCAAGGTGCTTATAAACCCCAGAGAAAACCCCAACAATCAGATGACCCCCTATGAGCAAACACCTGGCGACAGTGGGAAGGAAAAACTAACTAAAAAGGCTCAGGGAGGGGCAACCATTTGACCGATTGAGGGTAAGGATACATGTAAGAGACTGGACTTGAAAAGCAATGTTTTGTATTTTTTCAGAATCCTTCTTACGCATAAGTAGAATCATACATAAAATACTACCTAAACCTAACCCCTAAGGGATTCACTAGCCACTTTGTGGACATTATGAGGTTTTGAGGGAACAATTTGGCAAATTAGCCAAATTCTAGTTATGTAAATTGTCTGGGTACACCTCTGACTCACAATGAAATACAGATTTAAAGTACATGAATCTAATGTTTGTCTAATGGCAAACAGAAGATGTACAAGGTTGGTTTCAGAGTTTCAGAGAACAGGACAAAAGAGGAAAAAAGCCTAACGAAGGTGTTACAAGGGGTCTCGCTTCTTAGTGAAATAGGTCAATACAGCATTACCCAAAATCAAAACCACTAACAACAAATAACTTTTTAAGAGGCCTTGTTTTACTGTTATTTATTAGGCGGTGTTGAGATTTTTACAGTAAACTCCCACCATTGCTGACCTTAAATGCAGACAAAATATAGGGTCAGAGCTCACATCCTAACATTAAATCCAGCTGAATGATTTTTCGTGTCTCGCGGGATTATGCATTGTGGAGAGAGATAACAGAAAAATATTTACTTATTTCTCTGTTTACTCCACATTGTAGGGTTTTGGCCATTTAGTCCAAACTAAGATGAATATGCAGACTTTACAATGGCAGAAATAGAACTGAGACCTCCTTCTAACTATGGAAAATGAAGTCAGAGATAAGAGTTGCTTTCATTCCCAGGCTGCTGCAGAAGTTACCCCTGATGCCTCTGCTTCTTACCAGAATTTAGGCAGATTAATTATTCATTTTGCACATCTGTGCACCCTTGCTAAAATGGTGAGTGGCTCCAACTGGCACAGGCTGATAGAGCTCTCAAAGATGCTTATTTATGTTGTTTGTCCTCTAGAATCTGAACTAGAAGTGACGGTGCTCTCGACTGATTACAAGACTTTGGAAGAGAGTGGCAGTGCTGACTTATTTATGTTTCTCTTCTTCTCTTGCTGTTTATCTGCAGACACATACACTCCTGACATGTTTTGCCCCTGTTTTCTCAGTCTGACCATATCGTCTTTGCTGCCAGAGGGTAGGGTAGTGTAGGGCCTACCTTACAATATAAAGCACCTTGAGGCGACTGTTGTTGTGACTGTTTGGTGCTGTATAGATAAAACTGAATTAAACTGAATTGAATGATAGTGGAAATATTTCATACTTGAATAACATGCAAGTTTATTCTTCTGTTCTGTTGCTGGTGCTTCATATTCCAAGAATCCAACATTTTCTCTGATGCTGAAACTACTGTAGGCTGAATTTCTTTTCCACACACAAAATTTATCATGAATCATTAGGGCAATAAACAAAGATTCAGGTCTAGAAACAGAATTAGTGTAAAATCATTTTGTAAATAAATTTCCATCCTCCTACCTTGCCTAAAGACGACCACCAAATTTCTGTGTGTCTCTTTCTTTTGCTGTATCAGTCAATATAATTTTTTATGTTCTAAGTAGATATTCTCTGGCCAGTGGATGTAAATTTAGCCACCTGGTTTGTTGGCATGATGAACTATCAATTAGTAATAACAAGGAAAAAGTTTTTTTTTCATCTTTCTGCCAATGAAAATGTAAAATCCGACCCCAAATAAGCCATGCAAATTATACATTACCACAAGCTAAGTGGTACTCTCTGTGAATATTAAAGAGTACACTTATGGGAAGCTTGTAAAACCACACAGACTGGATGTAAAAGGCAGAGGAAACCTCTAGGTCTAAAACATTATGGCCAACAGGGGTGAATCATCTGAAAACTCTGAATTTAATGATGACTTTGAGACAGTGATCTTACTTCTGATTTGTGAGCTCAGTCTCTTTTTGCGTACTCTGTTGCTGCTTAAGAGCATTTTTCTGTTCACTGTGACACTAATTTTTTTTATAGAATGTTATCTCCTTAATAAAAAACAAATGTTAACGTAGGGTATAATTTAAGGTTTGTCTGCCTTGAGATTGACAAGTCTCTAATGAGCCCTTTGCCTTGGCATTCTCCAGCTCTTTGTCAGAATATTTGTGTTTCCTGCTTGTGCTTGACAAACCAGAGGACACCTGGTGCAGTTTTTAAGACCAAACTCATCCTCACCATGGCCCTACTAAGTGACTTGAGGAGGATTAAAACTTTGATGATCATATGCTGTGCAATGATTCCTTGAGTAGAGATTTTGAATCTAAAACCAATACCAAGATGCATCTTCTTGTTATTAATGCATCTTAGTATTGCTTGACAATCTTGAGCTGAATGTGTGTAAGACCAACAAAGAGATAACAGTGGACATTACCAGAAAACTAGCAAAGAACCTTCATCCTCTCAGCATGAATGGGATCCAGCCGGAGAGGGAAGACCAGCTATTACCTCAGGTGACTGAAGGACTTATGATTTTGCACTACAGAGAATCTTGTACTGCAAAATCCCCACCCGGATGGGAAACTGCATCCAATGCATCCAATTTTTAAGACTTCTTAAAACTTGTTACAATTTTCCTACTTTTGCTAATAGCACAGAGCTATTAGCTATCAAATTTGTAAATTGAAACAAGTTTGAGATACGTTCCTCCTAAGTTCCCTCTGTCCCGTGGCTCCAAATGAAGCTGCGCCTTTGTAAATGAGGATGAGTTAAGCCTGACTGCTTCCAAATATGAAATGCGAGCTTCTGTTGTAAACTAGGCTGAATTAGTAATAGAAAGCAGAGAGGGCTCAGCTATGAAAATAAAAGGTTTTTGCAGCCATGTCACCTAGAATACATTTTTTTCTCCAACAACACACAGCCTGGAGTTCAATTTTATACTTTAATGAATTCCCAGGAACAGCTCGTCTTTGATCTCTTGTTATTTATTCATTAACAAATAACATTTTAGCTTCATGTCTTAAGTGGGATATTTTGTATAGTTTTTCTGACTCATTGCTTGCAAAAGCTGCTCAGCATCTGTCACTAAGTTAATAAAATATTGATTAACTGTGTTGAAAATATGAGTTTGTTGTTTACTTGCTCTATTACATCTTGGTTGGTTTGTCACAGCTCCCTGTAGACCCACAAAACAAGGCTGCCTGATAGTACCAATGGAAATCAGACAGCTTTCTGTGTTTGTGTGAATGTACAGTGGACATATTATGTCATTTTGTCAAAACTGTTCGTCAGAGAGGTCCAGTTTGATTCGGACTTGCCATTTCAATAAAAAAACATTTTCCCTAACTTCTCTTGACTCATCCTGTCTGAAATGGGCTTTTTCTTTCAAAAACAGTCAGCATTATGTGTGCAGTTCTTAAAAACACCTGCCAAAAACGGAACTCCAGTCAGTAAACTCATTTTCTCCTTCTCCAGATGAAGTCAACAGAGGTGGACCAAGGGCTTTTCACAGACAGCTACTGCAAAGTGTGCAGCGCTCAGCTCATTTCCGAGTCCCAGCGGGTCGCCCATTATGAGGTGAGAGTCACATGACCCTGATATACTATACTGCTCTATTGGAGCTAATGACAAGATTTGTGCTGTTTAGGCACTGCCCCCAGAGACACTTGGAAAATCTATCCACCTGAGCCCTGCAGCTCCACACTGACATACACCTGAGTTCACCCAGCTGTTTGTTCTTTCATTTAGCCTCAGTTGAATGCAAACCTAGAAATACAGATATAACCAAAAGAGAAACTGAACTTTGAGATTTTCCACAGCTCATACTTTAAGGGGTATTCATCCACACTACCTAACATTTTAACCCCAAGAGATCATTGCTGAATTCAAACTTTGACAGCACAGTTGCAGTAAACAAGAAAAGCCATTACTGAAAAGCTACAAAGCATTTTAAAGTTACAAATAAGTCTCTAATCTCTCATTTTGTATTTAAGTATTGCAAAGTGATACAACTAACTACTGCAAAATAAATTTAGGACTGGTGTTAGATTGGTAATCAAAGCCAAGTATTGTATCCAAATAAATCCCCCAAATTTTCCCTTCATTAACCTTACTGTTCACAAACTGAATTGCCCTTTGTTTCTAATGGTTAATATAGTTCCTGACATGGAAGCCCACTAATTAATGATATTCTATCAATAGGATTATTGAATAATCTCAGTAAAGCCCTATTATTTTGATATTTTGGTGGCTAGCTTTGGAGCTGGCTAGTAACTACCAAAATAGAGAGATGGACTAAAGAAAACACAAAATTTGTCTGCAGTATGCCAAATACCATCTCACGTCCACTTTAATGTTCTTGCAAGTGAGTTTTAAGGAGTTTCTGACAAGATAAAATAAAAAATGTATTAAATCTATGTAAACACATCTGTACCTGTCCTTTAACCCGACGCGCTGAAACTGGCGATGCCCCAATCAGTCAACTCAAGGTCAAATTGAGGAAGGCAGCCAGTTGGTTTCCTCCTGCCTGAGCATCATCAGGTAGTGGACCTCTATCTCTCTGCAGATGCCACCGCTCACTCACTGTCAAACTGAGTTTCAAGACCAGTGAGTCTGATGGCTAGCCTGCCGCTACAGGACATCTGCAGTAACAGGAGTTGAAGGGACTCATATGAACACTACCATCCAGGCAATATTATCAAAGACTGGCCAGCTGACTTTCATTCTTTGAGAGGCTGAAAGAAAACAGTTTGAGACCTTGAGTCAATTAAGCATGTTATTGATTTCCTGTTGTTGTGCATCAGTTTGCTGAGGTAAAATCTCAAAAACGAAAACGAAATGTTTTTTTTGTTTGTTTGTTTTTTTTACATTTTTCTGACAGTGTTACTTTGTCCTAACTTTGCCTCGTCCTAAGCTTGCTTTCCTTGACTTTGAGTCAACTTTTCTTTTGCAACTCTTAACTCAGACTCTGTTTCCTGCAGGGCATAGTGCTCGCTGTGCTGCTGCTGCGGAGTGCTATTTAAAGTAGCCCTAACTGCCTATGGGAAACAGGAGAACTATTGTGTTCTTCAGGCTGTTGCAGGAGACAGAAAGTGGCTGTACCAATCCGAATCAAATATTAATTTTGTTATTGTGTGGTGAATGCAGAATACAGCACTTGGCCTGTTGCCTCCTGGAGATGGAGTGTATTTGGCTTCTATTTTAGCACAGTTAGGGTCTAATGCATGGTGACGTGTTTGGGTCATGTTGACGACAGTAAGAAAAAAGGGAAGTGCTACAACAAAGTAAACTTTTGAATCGAGATGGCAGTTTTGCATTTGAAAAGGTGAAGTGTTTGCATTTTGTTTTTGTCGATTTGATTCCAGCAGTGCTGCATTTGAAGATTTACAGTTGCTGTATATCAGACTGTAGAGCTTCAAATCTTCTAACTTGCATCTGAAACTCATGACCTCTTTCATTAAAAATATGAACATATGTATAAATCATAATAATGGTCATTAATAATGAAAAAGTGCATTTGCCAAAGAAAGAAGGAAGCCAGAAGATTTTACGTCTATGCTTCAGGTGAAGCGCTGGGCCAGTTGTGTATCTGTAGTTGAAAACTCCTTTTGACGGGGGATGCACACCAATTTTTTTAAGCTTTTTGCAACAGATAATATGTTATTGTTATTGCCATTTCACATTTTTGGCCTTAAGGGTCTGACTTCATCACCCCTTGGAGATTCCCCCCACTCAAGGAATCTCCAAGGGAGACAGGCAATAATGATTTCCTCCCTTGGCCTCAAGCCCTACAGGTGGATTTTGAGGTGAAAGTAGGTCCTAAGGCATATTGTTCTAGAGGTACTGGCAACACCACCAGTGTCAGGAAGTGTGGGGTGAGCTTTCAGGCAAATGTCATGGTTTTCCTCCGCAACTGTATAAGGTATAGTGGGAAGAGTGTGCAGACTTCAAGTTCGACTCTGCAAAAACAAGAGAGATCAGAGGCAATAGGAGACAGACATCTAAAGGGCTTTCAGGGTAGGAATAAATAATGAAATAACTAACTGAAAAAGAATTCATAGTTAAAACTTCCTGGACCATAGTAGGGACGTTTTTTATCAAATGGAGAACTTTTTCTGTATCCCCCCTTCAGATGAAATCTTTTTGACTGACTGGTCATCTAACTCACTCAAATATGATGATCTGTGATCGAGTCAGTGTTGCTTTGAATTTTTAAACTCCAAAGTTAAATCAGTCTTTGGGGTGACAGTAGACATGTAATTGATCTTTAAACCTCCTTTTCAAATACATCAAAGCAAGAGCTCCCCTGCAGAGTGGATCAGAGTGGCCTTTGGTTCTCAGTTCAAAGATATGAGTGTGGCGCATGTTAATTTATGCATCTGTCTCGTTGCATGATTTCTGATTTGGGCGTGTACTACAGCCTCTCTTGACAAGCTGCCCTCTTGCAAGCAGTGCAAGAGAACCTCTTTTAAACTAGATGCCTATTACGTTTTAATGTATTTTCCCTAGCAGTGTTGAGTAACTGCTCTCGAAGAAATATAACACAGCTCATTAAATGTCTGATTGTTCAACGTGTCTTTCACTTACTGAGTCAACAGCAGTTTATTAGTACTTGCTTGAGTGTGGCATGTTTTAGGGGTGATCTAAGGCACTGTTTTATGGCATCACACGGATGAGAAGCAAAAAAAGGCCCATCAGGTGCTAAAAAATAAACCTTAGACTCAAACGTTAGAACAGGCTTTTCCCCGCAGCACGCCGTGTAATAAATACTCACAAAGAAAATGGCGGCCGTTACAACTTATGTCTAAAAATGTATCGTTTCATGCATTGGTTAAAACACTCGACTCCAGGTACGCGACGCCCAGCTGGAAACACTTCCGCTAAGTCGAGCTGCCCGAGATTCACAGAATTTACAGAAAATGTTAAATTTTTGTGATTTATATCATTATCGGGACGATAGATGTCTTATATTGGGATATGAGATTTTGGTCATATCGCACAGCCCTACTTCAGAGAGACCTTAAAGTCAAGCTCAGATAGAGTCCTGACAGATCAGCTGAATGCTTACCTAATAGCTTTCTTCACATCCAACTGCCAAATCTCATATTGATGTGTTATATAAGCTGCATCAGCCTGTCCACAGTTGGCGTTCATCTGCAAGTCGCTTTGCAACCCACCTCCACACCAGTTTCTCTCTTTTTTTAGAATGTAGTTAAGTCTTATATAATATATTCTCTTTTAACAAATTAAATCTAAGCAGCAGTCTGTTAGTCTGTTATTTGAGATGTGGCAATGCATAGCTTTCATTGTGCCATACCTTAATGGCAGGACCTGTTATGGACATCAGACTGCTACATAATGACCTCATAGTTGTGGTCAGTTATTACTTAATATAGTCTGAAACAGGTGTACATTTCTGCCTTGCTTCAGTTCTTTTGTGTTATCAGAACATGGCCTTTGTTTAAAAATTAATTAATCATAACATTAATTAACATGAGGATAATATATACAGATTATATACATGATAGCATCTAGGACTGGGTGATATATTGAGTTTTTAAATATATCAATATATTTTTATACGAAATAAGAGATGTGACAATATCGTTTATATCGATATAGTCTATGTTACTTTATAATTATACTTGTGGAACCACAAGTTTGCCTCTCTTTCGTCCACTTTTGTCTCTACGCTGCGTTACTCTGCCTTGCCTCTCTCCTTCACTGAACACAACTCCCCCTCCCCCATCGCTTCACCTGCAGTTAACGACAAGATGGACACGGTAGCTATCAAAGAGGAGCTGGTCGGTAAAAAGAAAACATTTAGAGATTACTATTTTAGTGCTGCAGCATTACTCGCGTTAAATTGACGTTAACGCCATAACTGTATTAACGCGGCAAATCTCCGTTAACGAGTTACCGCGGATTGCCCCGTGCGTGGGGCTGCACGGCGTCAACGCGTTAACGGTTACCTCGTTAACGTGTTGACACTGTGCAGCTAGCATTACTAGTATTTTCACCATTTACAACAGCGCCATAAAGTGCAAAATGAAGAGTGTGTGAAAATGTGTGCTGTATCCCAGACCACGAAGTCTCCCAGCCTCCTGCCCTGAAACAAAGTACCTTACATATAACCTAGGGCTGCACGATTAATCATTAGAAAATCGCGATGTCGATTCATACTTATGTGCGATCTCATTTCCAAATGACAACGATTTAAAAAAAAAAAAAAAAAAAAAAAAAAGACGACGATTGTACCTCATTTTGATCCGGGACGTAATCTGCATGAAAACAAGCGCTCACTCTTCCTGCTCAACAAATGACAAGGGCGGAGCCTTATACCACGTGATACAGAAGCTGGCTGCTAAAATTAGCAGGGAAAAAACAACGGAGAGCACGTCAGGGATGACGAGAAAGTGACAGGAGAAAATCCGTCCCGGTCAACCACCCAAACATCAATAACGGGAACCTTATACAGCGCTTCACGTCGAACTCCCGCAGGCACAAAGAAATTACGGAGGCTATTACTTATCACCTGACCAAAGATATGGCTCCCATCAACACTGTGCAAAACGAGG